CTAAATTCTTCCATGTCCTTTCATGAGTGTGTGATCATGGCTCTCCACAATGTTCTCTTGTTTTTCGGTCTAATATTTTTCACCTGTTCGCTATTTCCCTTGAACACTGTCCTAAGTTGTATAAGTGAGACAAATTGAACTTGACGTATAAATCAATTGTTCATATGGTTAATGTGAATGCCGTTTTCTTTATCCATACTGCTGGTTATATATTATATGACATAATTATTATTCCGATGAATACTATGAAAGTAGACATTTAAAATATATTTCATATATTTAACATAACGTGAAGTATCACCTCGAGACCGTCGTACAAGGTTTCAGCAAATAAGAATTTTTCTTTTTTCATCCAGACAATATTATGACATAAATATTTAAACCTATTGCTTTCTTTAAGATCTATTTAATCTTCCTATTGAAGTTACATTGGCAAAGTATTTTTCAAATTTTTTCTTTGTATTACATCTTTTAATTATTACTTTAATATATTATGACGCTCTAGTCACACATGAACCAGTGTGATTTAGTATATATGACTGAGAAAGTCCACGATTTAGGTTTTGATTATTCAGGATTTTTTATCAATGCAGTGTGACTTGTAAGTTTCCCATGAACTTATGCATGTACCTAAAATGAAAGGGACTACAGATCACAATAAACTTAGTAACAACTAAATATATATATATATATATCAGTTTTAACAGCTACCTACCATAATAATAATAATATGCAACAATTTTTTGCGTTTTGTAATTAGAAATATTTTATTTCCTGTTATGTCATATTTTCACAAAATCTCACTATTTTTAATTTGATGTAAATATATATATATATATATATATATATATATATATGTTTATTCGTGTGATATATATATATATATATATATATATATATATATATATATATATATATATATATATATATATATATTTGTATGTGCGCGTGTGTATTTGTTTGCTGTGTGAGTGTTTTGTCAAAATTTCTGATAGAATATATCTGCAAAAGGAAAACATGTCTGTCACTTTTCGTTAATTGCCTTGTTAAAATTCCCTGAGATGACGAAACGCCATGGATGAGATAAGTTCTCTTTTTGTCTTTATTGTCAATATTCAGAGGACAAATAATTGTAGTCATAATACGGATTTCAGTTTAGAGTTTAAATATGACCGAATATAAAACTTCTTCGTGGTGTAATTGTTCAGTACTTTTTAAAGACCAGTTATTAGAATTATGTGTGCACTTTAAATTAACTTAATTTCTCCAAAGGTTTCAATAAAAAATAAAGAGATAAACCTAGCTGAATCCCGGAATACAATGAGAGAGATAACGTGGGAACAATAGAAACATATAGTAATGAATTATCTTAGTTATCAAAGCGAATATAATTCTTCATATTCACTCTTACCTGGTATCTTATATTAGGGTTTTAATTGAAAATAATCCGCCATAATTCTCTTCTTCTTTCAATGCTCTAGCACTTTTACAATTTCCGCTGTCTAGAATGTTCTCAATGCTGTACAATCTACATTAATTCCATACTTTTTCGCCCCTTTTTTTCGGAACTGTCGTCAATACTCCGATAACACCCGACTTTCTCATGTTCCAAATCTTCCACATTTCTCAGTCAAAAAAGAGATACGAATCTCTGTTTTCTTTTTTTCTTATTTCTTCTATCGAAAAAAAAATCACCACTGAGATGTTTTTTGTTTCTTTTTAACTCTAGTTTTTCTCGTCTTCTGCTTTTTGATTTCCCTCCTTTTTTATATTTCCTTCCATTTTCATCATCATCCTCCTACTTCGACCCATTATTATTATTATTATTATTTACATGATTTTTCCATCACATTAAATATGTTAGCGTTGCCAATAGATATAATATATGACACCTAGGCGCCCAAAACCTGAAGTATATTTTTTTTTAATATTCTAGATGATGCCTTTTCCCTCGTGGTATAGATAGTCTTAAAACATCATTGGAGACATCTTCAAACGAATTTATTTTACTCGGGCTTGTCCTAGGTTACAAAATTCTATCATAAATAACTGATGCATGGGTAGCGCAAGCGTTGTCTGCGAATAGATTGAATGTAGGAGAACTGAGTTGAAATTTCTGCCACATTCACTCTCGCATAAATAATTTGGTAATGGCTTTAGTCCATCTATTCTCACTCCAGATATATGCTAAATAACCGGGCAGACCGGGATCTGAAAGATTACCAAGGAGAAGGAAATCTTATTGAGTCATTGTTCTTCGCAAATAGTAAAGAATATATTTAGTGGCATATGTCTGTGTGTGCAGTATCATTAAAACTCACACTTTTTCATCTTCTTCTGATGAAGCTACCCAATCATTATGTTCATTTTCAAGTTCTTCATAGAATTAGTTATATATTTGACCACTTGTGAATATTTAATAAATTAATGCCCTTAAGAATGCAATAGAGTTAGATTTCAAGAAATAGGTATCTCTAAAACGTTCAGGCTTTTGCATCATTCTACGTGTTCCTATTTTACTTTCGTGCCATTATAAATCTCTATGTCGTAGTTTGGTATGCTTCCCTTCTCTGTTTTATGAAAGTAGGCTTCTGGTCTACAACTTTTGCTCATAGATTTATTTTTTAATAGGACGAATTTCTCACGGGTTGTATTTTCCTTCTCAATTTTTTTTTCGTTTTTTTTTTGGGGAGGGGGGTTCTCTTCGTTTGCTTTGGTAATTTTGTAAATTGTTCATTTGTTGCTCAGCTCAGTTGCATGTGGAAAATAATCTAAACCCAATGATTTCGGCAATATCACTTTGAATTATCGGTTGTTGTACGGTCACCACAGTTAAGTAACGTCGGGCCTGGTCAGTACCTATATGGGTAACAGCATATCAGGTATTGTAAGCGTGAATGAGAGGTTGGTTTAATGTATAAAAAATTATTAAAAATCGCAGTATCAATTACAGTTGGGTTCTGTGTAATCCATTATGAGCAAATACACTTGGCGAAGTTTGAAATCCCTTCATCTCTCCTCCGGTATCAGTTATATAGTAGACATCAGTAAAATCATTATTATCTTCCCCAAATTCTTACACACTAAAACATTTTAATCTTTAACTAACCAGTAAATGGTTGATAAACCTTAAAAATAAACAACAAATTAAAGAATCTAAATACCACATCATAGATAAAATCTGGTCATATTGCAGTATAATTAGCTCTAATGATTTATATTTCCTCTATTTTTTATGTTAGAATGAAAAAAACGAAACATCAAAATATACACGGATTACTTGTGCACCTGCTGGATACAAATAAGTGATCGTTTTTTATTAATTTTTCAATAACAGCTCCCTTATTTTTCGTTTGTTTTTTTTTGCTGTTAAACAATTGTATATCGAAATTTACGAACTTGTTTACATTTTGTAATTTGTAGTTTTTGTTTTTTTAGTCACATATTATCAGATATGTAGATTATTTTGTTTCCGTTGTATATATATTTTTTAAAATTTCCATACCCTGATATGAAGAACTTTAATATGAAACAACTTGGTGCTTAACTTTTATGCATCTCACTACAGATTTGAAATATAAGGAGCTGCATTCGCTGGTTCGCGGACTTCATGAGTTCAAGCTCCCTACGAAGCTGGCATCCAGCTCTCAACTTTTCACTGTCGAAACTACTAAATGTAGCCGTCTCTTCTACTCCAATAGCTTCATGTCTCGCACTTCTTGCCTGTGGAAATACCTTCGTATTCCAGTTACCCTGAGAGCTCTAATCTCCAACTATTCAAATGTAATTGTCAATCGACATCTCCAGTTGCCTTGATCTATCGACTATCCTTTCCTCTATCAATCCTATCTGATCTTGCTCCAAATCTTCTGTAACCCCTTGCTTTCTAGTGGTTTCCCGCCTTGCTCGGGGTGAAACGCTTGAAATATATATATATATATATATATATATATATATATATATTTTACGTTTTTCTCATTTTATATATATATATATATATATATATATATATATATATATATATATATATATAAATGGTATTTTGATCATAAAACCTGAGCTAGAACCTTAGCGATTGTTAAGAAAGGTAACTTATTGATCTTATCAGTATGAGGAGGAGATCCATGAGCTTGAAACCTTTGGAAAGTGACAGAAAGCTGAGCCATGTGTTGATCCAAGCCTTATAGGAATTATATTGGGTCGGGTAGACGAAACTGTTCGGAAAACGTCGATAGCTGTGCCATCACGAAGTCACTAAAGATCGTGTCCGTATGTTTCTGTCTATTGCCATTGCTAATACTGCTGATCATGATAGATTATAAGCTCTCTCTCTCTCTCTCTCTCTGAAACTGTAACTCGTAAACAAGATAATTGCATATGGCACAGTTTTCATACTAGTTTAAATCAAGTATTAAAGGCAAGTTAGTCTTTTTTTTTCTTTTGCTTTTAATCTGTACTAGTTGTTTGCTTGTATAGCGGCTACTTTTATACATACGACGCCCCAAGAAGGATTTTATATGATTCATTTACTCTATTTCCCATTAATTGGTTTTATTTATTCAGGTATTTTTTCTATTTGTTGTTCTGTCAAGTCTGTGTCTTCTTTTCATATTAATTTCCATTCAAATGTTTCTCGTCTGTTTTGCATACCTATTCCTGGTTAATGCGGTCTTTTCTGTCTCTCCTGTAAAGAATTATCCTCCCTTTTGTTTTTCTTTTCTTTTTGCTGTGTATTATTTCGTTGTCCTTCTTCTCACATTTGATTTTCCTCTCTTTTTTCTTGTTCTTTATTCAGTTATACTACTTTTGTTGATCATTCTGCAGTTAATTTTATTCTTTTTATATTCTTTTTTCAGTCAGTTGCCTTTTTTGTCTACTTATTTCTTTGTCCAAATTCATTTTTTTCTATTATTTTTTCCTCTTCAAATTGATTTATTACTTTTTTGATCGCCATTGTTTTACTTTTTTTTTCTTCTCATTCCCTCTTCAAAATCCTTTCGATGACATTGTTGCTCTGCACTTTTGTTGATGGCCGACTCTTTTGTTATATTCGTTGGTTCACTCTATTCTTATTTCCGTTATCTTCTTCTTCTTCTTCTTCTCCTCCTCCTCCTCCTCCTTCTTCTTCTTCTTCTTCTTCTTCTTCTTCTTCTTCTTCTTCTTCTTCTTCTTCTTCTTCTTCTTCACTTAGTTTATCCAATTATTCTTTTCGTTGTTCCCACCATCGTTTCTGGCATTTTTTTTTTCTTTTTTTGTCACTTAACTTCTTCTTGTTTTTCATTTTGTCCCTCCTTTTGTTTCCTTGGTTTCTTATTCTTCGTCTTTCTCTTCTCCATCGAAATATTAATGAGTAACTTCCCTTGCAATAACTAATCTTAAACTAGAGCTCATATGACAACAAGCCTTTTATTCTGAGCTGAATCTGGTAGTACGGTTGAATATCTAGAACGTAAATGATATTTCTGTCTTTCATTATCATTGATGTGTTCTATCCAGTTTTCTGTTTTTATAGCATATTACCACTAATAGATTTATTATTATCTGGTTGTTTCAGTATTTCTTCATTTTATTCTGTTTAGACACCGTTTGTTTGCGATATCTTCATTTAATTGAGACAATTTATGACCAAAATGTTTTTTGGAAAGAATTCTCTTAAATCAAACCTTTGTAAAGATTTGTATTTTTCTCCTTCCCTCCACCATATTACACACGCCTCAACAGACGTACAAGACCCAGAAATAATATTAAAATCTGGCCGGTCACTTGTCTTTTATTTCCCTAAATTTTATCATAAATTTAAAATAAAGCGTTGGCGAAAAGAAAGAGGAATATCATATTTAAAAGATAGTATTGTTATGGGCAGAAATTATTTGAGATTTCAGATTCCGATCTATTGAAAGGTCACAGCGCTGAATAAGATACGCCGGAACTTCACCCGATGATGGGAAATGCACCGTGATAAAACCCAAGGGGAGAAGAAAGAAAGAAAGAAAGAAAGAAAGAAAGAAAGAAAGAAATCAGTGATTTCATTTTTTATTTGTGATTTACAATTCTACTTTATTCAAAGGAAAGAACCCAAAGTAACACGATGAACATTTAAATCAATTTTCCGCCGCCATTAATTTTATCAATTAAATTCTTGATAACGGCATAACGCAATTTGTCAGAATCATAGGGAAATGGGAGAAAGCGATTTATAATGCTGGTGTTGTTATTATTATTATTGATGTTGTTGTTATTATTATTATTATTATTATTATTATTATTATTATTTTATTCGCGTCGCATATCAACGGTGTAAATGGATATTATGTTATTCAGACATGGTGTGAAAAAGACTACTCAAAACGCAAGAACTTTTCAGGGAATCATCGCAGAGAAATAGTGATAGTTTTCCCGATGTTTGAGATCTTGGTTTCAATGCTAGTTCACTGTAAACGCGTTTTCAATTTTCTAGGCGGTGTTCCAAGAACATCCATTAATACAAAACTGGTTCTACTACCATTAGTTCCGTAGCTTCTTCAGGTAGATCCTGGAATTTCTCTGTCTTAACAGTTACTTTTATCGCTTGCATGATATGGAAAAAGACGAAACAAATACAATAATCTGTTTTTTTATGTTCTATAGCAATAAGGTCGTATCTTCCTCCTTCAGAAGCGTAATTTGTCTGGTTTAAAAAATCCCAGTAATTATTATTATTATTATTATTATTATTATTATTATTATTATTATTATTATTATATTTCGATTTCAGGTACCTTTACATGACCTGAAAAGTCTGCAAGGTGGAGGTAGTGGTGCTGTTATGTCTACATCTCTTGATTTGTTTTTCCAGCTCTCGTAACGTCACTAGCCTTAAGTTCTTCCATAGTGTGTGGGCTGTAGTTAACAAGTCAACGTTTTGTATTTCTCTCAAGTTGGGGTTTCCACATTTTTCTATATCGATATTTAATAATTATAATAATAATATTAATAATTATTATTATATTTTTGGATCAATTTATTTTCATACAGTATCGAATTGGTCTTACCGAATAAAAAAGTTATTCTCATTTTTTTTAATATGTATCTCTTCTTATTTTGCGGTATTAATTAGTACAACTGTCTTGATGTTTTCCATTTCTCTTCGCTTTACAAATTCTATACACTTTGAAAAGAAAATGCTTATAGGGTGAAATATTTGGCTTACCTGAAACAATATTGTTTTATAGGTTGAAATAAAAACGGGTACTCTTTCTGCAACAGAGGAACAATCAAACGCTTAGATGCAAATGCAATCAGTATTACTGTATTTCTCATGAAGATTCCCCCCCAAAAATAATGAACTCGTTCAGCATATCATTTAACTTACTTCGTAAACAAAGGATGAACTTCACATAATGTGATAAAGAAGTTTCACAAAGAAAAAACGATTAATCGGGAGGAACAAACACTTGGCCGATTAATCTGCAAATTCTGATACGGCGAATTTTGTGACTAATCATTGTAACAGAGTAACCGTATAATATATATATATATATATATATATATATATATATATATATATATATATATATATATATGAGTACGTTTATGTATGCATGTGGATAAATTATCAAGAATAGGTCGCTTTAGAATGGTCATATTGCACGCATGGGTGGCAGAGTAGTGCTAGCTAACAGAATGAAGCAAAGACCATTATGAGAATGGTCTGAATTATTCACTGAACCTTGAAAAGATCAATGCATCTACCTGGAAGATACATACAAATGAGTATCTCATTTGGCGGGATTAGGTTCATGATGACGACAGAATATTTCGAGAGTGTCCCGATTGCAAAATATAAACCGAAAAGATTTGTACGCAAAATGGAACATCAATTCCATATATTTGACAGGAATGAACTCACTTCAGTCGCTTGTTGTAGTTGATGCCTGATCAACGAAGACGGAATATTTATAGTTATAGGCAAAAATATTTATGCTGGTAAATAGTTTGGTTTGGTTTGTTTTACGGCATATCAACCTCAATGCCGACAAAATTTTCATTGCTGGTATTTTTTTTTTTTTTTTGTCAAAAGTATTGCAGGTAAAAAAAATTCCCAACAAATATCTATTACTGTTAATATTTTTTCTTCAAAAATAATTTTTGTTTAAAAAATGTATAGCTGGTAATATTCATTTTTCATTGCTGATAATAATCTTTTTCTTCAAAAACGTGTTGCTGGTAATAACATTTTTTACAAAGTATTTCTGGCATTAAATCTATTTTATACAATTTCATATTTTCTAGATCCAAGTGTGGGGGTTAACTTTTTGACCATAGCTGGGACCGTAAAAGGTGCTACAATCTTGGGTCAGGATAGAACTTGGAACACCAGCAATTAAGAGGTGGTTCCACGTTCTTCAAAGCCTCCTGATCAGAGGTTTTGCTGTTGGACGTAGTTTATCGTCTTACCCAGCACGCCTGGGAAAAAGGTCTATCAAATAAATGGTATTAATTTGTAACAATTCCTCTGATATTTTTTGGAAAATCAGATTATAGGTTGAAGATTACGCACATATTCAAAGAAATAAACCTAATGATAAAACATTAATCTCATGCCTGGTAAACTTTTACCAGTTGTTTTTAGTTTTGTTTAAATTTAAAGAGATTAAATCATTTAAGTCATCTAAATTTTGTAAAAGGAATCCTTGACGACGAGTTGATGCGATCATTAGCGCTCGACGTATTTATCCAACTATAACATTTTTTATAATTCCTACGTTCTGTCTTCCGTTTTTACCATTTTTGTCGATTTCATAGCCAATTACGACAGTAAATGGTGGTTGAAATTAAATGAAAGCATCCTTCGTCCACATTCCACCGTACTTTTCGTATTAGCTATTCCAGACGTTCTTCCATTTTGCTGGTTTCGATTCTTCGGTTGATAACTAATTGTGCCGGCTTTTTTCTCATGCTCTATAGTTTGGTTTAATGTGCAGCAGTAATCGTGCACCCATCACAATATGTTTCAGTATTCATGCATTTTAGAAATATTTCTGAAGGTTATAATCTTCCTTTCAATACTGTCTTTTTGAATCATATTTTTCAAGACAATATTAATTGGTGGTTTCCATTGGAACGTAGGTGACAGCATATTTCATCGAAAATCTTGAACCGTCATATTTAATAATAATGATTTTTTTGTAGTTCTGTCGTATCGCTGATTTCAGTCTGATACATTTTTTTTACTCTTTCAAACTTTTTGAAATATGTTCTAAGCGGGAAAATGATACTAGCAAACAGCCTCGTGACGTGTGTTCACCAAATTATTGAGTTTTAACACAAGATGCTAATATTATTCACGTTACTTAATTATTTTGTTTTACACTGTTACTTGTCGAAAGAGGACAGATTACGTATATTTTATAAACTTTCACGTTTTCGTCACGGTTAGTTTAGATATTCTTACATGGAGGGGGAGATCGGTTTGATATTCAGTATATCAGTATTTTTTACTTAATTGTAAAATGGATGATATTAATTATACTGGACTGCATTTACAGACTTCATTAGTTTGCACCATGACATATGGATATACTTTCCATTTCAGTCATATCTATTCCTGATATGAGTTAAGTAGTTATATACTATAAGTTTATGTAGAACAATTAATTCTGCCCATAGCTTTCATTTACGGTTGTATTATGCTTTAATCTATGTTATGGTTATTCCTTTATACAATATTTATGAGTTACCCAACCACCTTTAGCAAATATTCTATTTAAAAATTATGCTTGTCATCTTATATGCAATTTAATTTCCTTTTCAATTTTATTATTGGCGTTGATTGATCTTCCAATTTGCATGTTGTCATTTTTACACCGATTTTTTACTGTGATTTCTTTTTCATTCTTCTGCCTTGCGTTCTATTCACTCACATTCTTACGATCGCCTGTATATTCCAAATTGAGAAAACGCTTTACTTTGTCGCTTATCAATTTACATGCTATCTATTAAGGTCATTGTTCGAGTTCAAACTTTAGGCATATTTCATCTGTTTCTTAATCGAAATTATTATTATTATTATTATTATTATTATTATTATTATTATTATTAATAATAATAATTTCCTTTGATTTCTGGTGTATACTCATTTCTTTACGTGTTCCGACACGAAACATACGGTCAGAAATGGCATCATGAAATTTTCCACTGAGCAGTTTTTGAAAAAAATCGCATATGTTTTACATAGATAAAACCCTTCGTAAGTTATGGGCTGCACTTGCGAGTACATCTTTTTGTATTTCTTTAAGACATGGGCTACCAGGAAATTCCTTCCTTGAGTCTATTGCAAACATTTCCAATAATTACGAGACCTCCAACTACAACTGGAATTGTTAATGTCCTCGTGCGCCATATTTTTGAGATTGCGATTTTAAGATCCTTGTGTTTTGATAGCTTTCTGTAAATCTTCAAATATATATTGCAGTCTACAGGGACTGCCATGTCATCAATAAGGAGGCATATTTTGTCCTATGCGGTTACTAATAACGATGTCAGCGAAATTAACTATGATTCTTCTGTCTGTGTGAATTGTAAAGTCACTTAAAATTGTTACAGGTCGTATTTCCGTAACCGGGTCTGGGTGGTGTCCATACCAAATACTTGCAGTTTTCTTTCCGCGTGTGTTGTACATTTTCCTGTGCAGATACCATCCCGCTTTGTCGTGCCGTGTTTTATATTCAGTGAGTTAATATTATTATTATTGCTGTTATAGTTTTTGTTGATGATAGTCATAGCAGTGAGTAACATGTATGATGATAGCATTTTTTATGCTCTTCCATCAAATGTCTTCTCAGCTTCCTTCCGAAGTTGCTGAAGACCAGTCTGGAGATCATCGCTAATTTTGCATTATTTCAGTTTCTTTAGATTAAAATTAAATTGCTCTCCCTTGATGTAATTTATGTGTATTTCTTTATAAAATATTTGCGTTTTATGTGTGTTGTTTGAATTTAAACATATTTTTTTTTCATATCATTCTTCAATTATTAAATCAGCTTGTCGATTTCCATTTTTATTAAAACTAATATCGTTATTTTTTAAATATTAATAGAGATACATTTATCAATAATACCTTAGTCTCATAATTCCTCCTAGATGTCTCTGATGAATCGGGCAGAGGGATCAGTATGGAATAATTTCATTTAAACATCTATGTTTAATTTGAAATTTAACTTTTTCGTATATCATAATACAATAAAAATATAATATCATTGCAATATTTATCTATTCCACAGTTTTCACGAGTAAAAAATTTGTCATTTTATTCAAATATTTATTCATCTATATGTTAATAATCATTTACTTAAATCAATTTTATTATGAAGAGCCTATACTTCGAAAACTGTCACAATTATTGGAGTGATTCGAACAAAGTAATCATTAATAATGGTCAATCAGACACGCATGCTAACCATTACTATACCCTTAGAAAGTTATAGTTAAAAAATCTTATTTGAATTAGTATAGTTACTTATAATATAAACCGATTTCATATCGTCAAAATAGTTGTAATTCTTTCCTATGATAACGTGCCTTTTGAGAAATAAGTAAATTATTTTAGTTAAAAATATGGATTTATTTCAACATGTACGAAAACAAACCTCTTCTGAATATATTTGTGAAACTATATTTAAAAAATGTTTAAAATGAAATATAATGAAAACATAACAGACAATTTAAGTAGAACTTTAAATTACTTATATAGGAGAATATATTTTAATCTAATTCTAAAATTATATCCACAAAGCAAACATCTCTGTGTACTGTGTCAGTTTTATAAAATTTATTTAAAATGTGCCGTTTTTTTTCTATAAGTCTTTATTTGGCAGGCAGACATTCAGAGGATTCGTCGTGTCTATCTGCATTAATCCCCCATCAGAGATCTCATCATAATTAAATGTAATCACTTTCCATATCTTTGATATCACAAATCCACAGAGTTTTTATTTCACGTCTTTGATATCAGTAATTCCCTGGTGCTTTTTCGCCTCCTTGATACCACAAATCGCCCAACGTTATTTTTTAATTTCCTCGCTATCCCAAATACACTGAGGCGTTCAATCCATTATCCAGATGACAGGAATTCACCGGTGATATCTTTCGCATTCTTTGATATCCAAAATTCACTGGGTCTTTCTTACTATTTCCTTGGTATCTCAAATAGACTGTTAAGCTTCTTTCATATCATTGATGCCATAAATCTCTATGTGCTTTCTTTTCATTTGCTTGATATCCAACATTTCCTCGTGCTTTATCACCATTTCCTTGATATATTTTATTTCTCGAGGCCTTCTTTCGATTTCCTTGATATCTCAAATTCTCTGATGCGTTATGTTGATTATTATATACCATTCCTTCTAGATTTATTTCCACCTCCTACGTAATCCAAATGCCCTGGTGCTTTCTTTCTATTTCCCTGACATATCAAATTACCAGTTACTCTGTTTCTATTTCCATAATATCTCAAATTGCCCGGTGCGTAACTTCCATTCCTTTCGGTACACGCATGCTACCATTCTCCTACTATGACGATATTTATTTACCAGATATTTCAACATAACACGATGGGACCTAACTGCCAATTTAGTAATACGCTTAAATTCCTGAAGTTAGTTTAATTTAAAGAAAAATCCATCAGGACATTTATCATGAAAATGTTTAAGTAAATCGTACAGAGGGGCCATGTTAAAGCGTTTGGCAAATGATAATCATGTTATGTATTTAGGCTTTTTAGAAAAAATGTGTCTATGGAATAGAGTGTAGATATTTCGATTTTTTCTAGATATCAAACAGAAGATAATACCAAGGGCATCATTGAGATTTGATTTTCTCAAGAACATTTGCTACATTATGTGTTATTCTTTAAATGTTAAGGTATTACCATTATGGAGAATTGGTATTTTTCTGTTTCTTTTAAATGTGTCTATAAACTATATCAATTCTTCTGCTTTGTAATCTATGTCTGAGATCTGCAACACATGCTTCAGTTATCCTCTCCCTCTTTCATACCATATTTGTTTTAAGCCTGGATATATTATTAGAAAATACAGAATCTATGAATAGACTCAATGAGATATACATAATTATCGTTTGAACATATACCGAAATCTAAAACATTTTCTATTATAGTTGTTACAGTAAAGACTATAATATCCCATTCATTTTATTCAACAACAAAATATATGTAAATATCACACGCTATAAATAAATAAGTAAAATGTTTCAATAATTATATATTATCAGTTTCTTTCTTGCATAATTTTACAGGAAATACATTTTTTTTTCTTTTTTGCCTGATAAATATATTCATTTTTTAATGCCACGGTTCTTCAGGATACGGGTGAGCATGAATATCGTTAGATTCATTTTCTTTTATTTTTCTAATAATGTCTTGTCTTTCGAGGAAAATCGTGGAGTGATTTCCTTTGCCTTCTACAGAATTTAAAATTCAGATTACATGTTCTTAGTCCTGTCGCCATCAGAAGACTGATGACACACTTTGCTCTGCTTAGTAGCCAATTGCTAAACTGCGGAGAGAGTAAATGTTGCCGGAAGTGGACGCAACAGATTCAGCTGGAATATAAACTTGTGTTGCTTATTCCACTTTTAGTTTTTTAAACTGATTTCATAAATTCAGTACGATAATGGAATAAGTCACGCTTAACATTATTTTTCCAAGTGATTTTTCGGTCGTTTCTCAAATAATATTTGATTACTTTTCTTTCTCTTTTTTTCCTGTAAATGTTACAAATTCATGACGGTCGTCTTCGAGTATAGAATCCAGAGGTTGACAGTGAATATTTCGGAGAGTGTAGGAAAGCGTAGATCAGCTTCGCAGTGGATATCGTAGCAAGGCGTAGTTTTTCCTTCTGGCATGTTCGCCTGACGAGTTGGCTCTGGTCATTCCCGTAGGTCAACAAAGATGGCCACCTTTATACACAACGGATACAATGTTCTGCGGCTTCTGATTGGTTAATCTTCTATTGTTAGACTATAAAGGGAATTAAGTCATTTTGACTCGCTCACTAGTTTATATATATATATATATATATATATATATATACACAAAAAACTGTAACAACACATCCATATATATTCCTTAATTCAACTGGTTGTTAAAGTTAACGTCTGGCTCGTTGCTTCTTTTTACAGTTCTAATTCTCTTACACCGATTAGGAAAAAATATTTCGTCCAATTCCAATTGAGAACAACTAACAATTTTGTTGTATACGAATAAGTGTCATTGCCGACAGTGTGGTTTGAAACTAGATCGCCAGTGAGTAAATAAAGGTAATGAATAAATATTTTTAGTCTATCACTATAGGAATCTCTGTTCCCACTTCTAAGCTATCCATTATTGCTATACGTCCATTCTCTCTACTACAATACGGATTACGATTCTCTTCTGATCATTATACTATTTGGCGATTACTACTTGGACAAGTATTACTAGTGCGGATAATATTGGAAGGCGTTACTACTACTACCGGTGTATACGAAGTTTCGAATGTAAGGAAAATTTTTAGAACTGCTAACGAGCTTACATTTGACATAACAAACGTGACAATCGAAGCCGTCCAACATCACAACAGTGGTGAAGAAGTTTCGCAAAGATTCATTTTTTTATTTATTATACTTATTTTTTTTCTTCTCATACAATTTTGCTTCTCTCACTCCTTCTTTATTTTCCTTTGCTCTGTAAAGATTTGTCTTTTGTCATATTATTATACATTCCTTGTTCAATTATTCTTCCTTCATTTTTATTCCTTCAATACCTTTTAATTCTTTTCTTCCTTTTTGATATTCATTTTTTTAAATTTCTCTCTTCGTATTTCCTTCCATCCATTCTATTTTTCTTACTACCATTTCTTTTTTCACATCCGTTTCTTTTTCTTTTCTTTCCACCCTTACTTTTCCTTCAATCCTTCCTACTTTTTTCCTGTACACCCATTTTCCCACCTCATCATTTACTTTCTGTCGATTATATCATCCTCCCCTATTTTCCGTTTATTATTTCTTCTACTTTATTCCGTGCACTGATCTCTGTGCATTGGTAAAAAGCATACGGATTAGCATATCAGTGAAAAGCAGTCTCCTCCTAAACCATTAAGGAAATTTATTAGACATTTCTCTAGTCTTCATCTTATCATTTTCCTGATAACATATCGTTACTACTATAACTCGAATGCCAAACAACTTTTGTGATAACTCATAAGTGAACACATCGAGTTATCTGAAATATTTCCAGACGGAGTTGTTTTTTTTATAAACCAAATTTGTCCACGACTGAATAATTTAATAGCCCCAAAATGCTCAGTCACAGAATTTCATGGAAATGAGACTTTGGTACAAATCATATTCCCGGTTAGTCGAGTTATGTCCTGCTAGACAAATATTATCATAATATTTCTGAATACATACATACATACAGGCACACACACACACACATATATATATATATATATATATATATATATATATATATATATATATATATATATTTAACTTGTTCTTAAGATAAACCATTAAGTAATTAAAATGGCTAAGTTTAAAAGATTTACGCTTTAATAAAACTTACACTATTTTTTGCTTATCTAAATCTCGCAGATTATCTAAAGCCAGAAATATTTTAGGTCGTCAGACATTGCTGGATATAATGATGATTTATTGATACAATTTCTACTAATAAACACATGATGGGGTGACCGAAGTAGATTCATACATTTCCCAAGTGTATTTGCGCACATTTTTGTTTATAACGAAACCGACAGGAATTATAACTCCAGTTTCCGATTTACAGTTGATATATACTAATCACTTTAGATGATAATTTGAAATCAGACAATTTATTTGAAATTCTCTTATCACCTGCAGGTAAAATGTACGTTTTTTTCAAACAAAGCCCTATCATATCAACTGGCCCGGTTGTTGTCAACTAATATGTCTTGACATATTTAATTGATACACGAAGAAAAGTAATTACAGATATATTATTCTATACATCGCCTTTTGATATGACTGTTAAAAAATTAGCAATATGTTATTCCTATGAAAATATACTATCATAGTTTTAGCGGATATTTCATACTTCATTTGCTATGGAAAACAATCAGAAATGAATAACTATATACCAATTAAAACAAGAAAAACACTTAAAAGTATAAAGATTCTTAGAAATATATATTGAAACAATTTATATTATAATATAATGTTTTGTTTTGTTTAAGGAACGACTTAATGCTATAATTCATTTCATTAAAGTTAAATTATAATTTTAATTCATCGGATTTAATGTTTATGCTTTGTTCAGAATACAATAAATTTGCCATTAATCTTGTCGCATTGTTTTGACTGAGTTCAATAAAATTCCTCAGGTGTATTTCAGAAGCTATTTAGCATGGAAAATAAACATTATTCCAGTATAAAATTAACACATACGCAAAAATACAACCACATACACATTGCTACGTAGATATTTCTATGCTACTATTAATTACATTTTTCTCTTTTCATACAGAATAAAATTGAGAACAAGTTCATCAGCAGGGAGTTAATTAACTTTCGTTCCCCACAGCAAATGTTTCATTCCTTTCTTTTTCAATAAATGTAATCTCCATATATAGACGTATTCTTGAATTAACTTTAAAAATATGCGCACCATTCACCATTGTACGGCAATATATTTTGTTTTATACAATATTTTATCATTGTATAAACTCATAAAACTGTTGGAGTTCTAGTTGCTGTAGTTGTTAATAATAATAATAATAATAATAATAATAATAATATAATGGTAACAACAATAACAGAAGCAAAAATATAATAATACTTTTAACAATAAAAACAGAAGCAATAAAAACAACGCTAACAATATTAACAGCAGAAACATTAAGTGCGGTAATAATAATAGAAAAAATAACTACAATATTAATAAAAGTAATAACAGTGACAAAAACAAAGAAACGACAACCCCACAACTAACAACAACACCACTACCACCACCAACAACAACAACAACAACAATAATAATAATAATAATAATAACGATAATAAATGTTCACATGTTACATAAATGATTAATATTTTGGCTTCTGATTTTAATTTATTGGATGCATATCATATATATATATTTTAGTGAATTAAGATGGGCTAGCTTAAATATCCTGTCAAATACCACTGTTCTGCTTGTCAGTTAAGTAACTTTAACTTGTTGGTTATTTTCCGCCGTGGTTGACGCACTATACATCTAGTGAGATTACTCGGGTGGATCCAATCTGGTTTAGACTTATGGATACGAAATTATTAATGTGAATATAGCTTACCGCTCGTTAATAACCAGAGAGATTCTTTTTACAAGTTACGTTTCTCATGGCAACTCACAACA